AAAGAAAAGAAATGATCATATTACTGGTCAATGGGAGTAATTAATTCAAGCCTTGACTTTAAATAGATCAAAACAATTCTGGGCCATGGTTTTAGGAGCATTCCACATGGAAACTCCCACTGTGTCCTTCATTTCTCCCCACACCTGGTTTCAATATTTTTAAACTTTATTTCGTGAGGAATATAGGAGTGTAGTAGAATCACTCAATCTCCCTCTGAACGATCTACCTGATTGGCCACCTGTGGCACCTGATAAAGTAAAGGAACCAATTGTCCATTTAAGGGTGCAGAAAGCTCCTTGACCAGATGTGATATCTCCTGAAATTCTAAAATCAGATCCAGATTGGTGGGTACCCCTACTTGCTGCCCTTTTTACGATGGTTGATAAGACCAGCTTAATGACAGAGGCTTAAACAAATGCAGTAATAGTACCCATTTATAAAAAAGGCAACTGTTCATCGCCCTCCAATCTTACACCTGTAAGTCTCCTCTTCATAACTGGGAAGCTGTATGCCAAGCATTTACTATCCAAACTCACTATCTGGATGATACAACACATTCTGGGGGCAGAGCAAGTTGGCTTTTGACAGGGGAAAACCATGTTGGATCACTGTACTATTTTCTCCCATCTGGTGAATAACTACACTAGGAAAGCAAATCTTAAGTTATATACTGCTTTCCTAGACCTTAAAGGAGCTTTTGACTCTATAGACAGAGATTTACTCTGGGATGTAGAACACTGCAGACTAAATTTTAAAAATAAAAAGAACCCTATCAGACAGTTTCAATTCAATTGAACAGGTTGCAGTTCTACGTACACACTTCCAAGTAAATTTGGATAGTATCAGGCTGTGAGACTTAAGTTATTCTTCCAGTTGGTTGACTCAACTCACTCTTCTGGAAAATGACAGAAGGGTTTCAGGAAGGCTAGGACAGTACACTGAGGTTTAGCCACCATTCCATGTTTAGTCAAAGCCCAGTCTTAGAGACAATACATGCATGCCTCAAGATGCACAGTGGTTGCTTTAGGCTATTGTAAACTCTAGCTTCCTACTTATGATGAAGCACCAGGCTGAATTAACTGCTAGCACACATGCAAATCCACATAGAAAAAAATGAGCACACTGACTACACCCATTTCAAACACTGCAAAATTAATGCCTTGAGGATGATGAATTGGGTAGAAAGGCAGCACAGGAATGTTTAAAATAAATAAATAAAAATCTACACAGAAGGCACATGAGCAGGAAATTATATACAACTACTGTTTAGATTACCACCAATGACAACTGGGTGGGAATTTGCTGCATGTACCTATAACTTCTAGATGTGTACACTCTACATGTACGGGCAACAGAAAACCTATGCGAATACTTGATGTGCAAGAAAATCTACATGGGGTTCCATACTATTTATTATGCAGACGTGCTTTCTATGCAGGAAAACTGTAATGAGCGATTTAAGGCAAATTATAGTGGGTACACTTGAGGGTTAAATGCACAAAGCTGCAAGGTCAAACTCTCAAACCAACAGCATGTAAATTAACTAAAAGCCTACAGCCAAAGAAGTGGCTGGTTAGCTCAAGCATATGCAAAATTCACACAAGCGCTTCCAGGATTTTGCATAGCTAGGAGTCAAAATTTGTGCTTCCTATGAACCTGTGTAGGAAGGCTGGGCCTCATCTCCAACATCATAGTGACCTTTGGAGGCCAGCACATCCAAAGCACAACACAAAGATGATCCCCAAATCCCATCCCTGGTTCCAGTCTCAGTGGGAGAGAGGACGGAATCACCCATGTCAAAACTGTGCTTAGGAGGAAATCTTTGAACTAAAGCACCAGACTCAAAATCCCAGATCTCCTGATCTTGGGAGAGATCACCATTTCTACTTCCTCCTCTCTCTCCATCTGCCCATCTCTGCAGCCACCATCCTCACAGATATTCCCTCTTCTCTATTCTTACCTTCCCAGCACTTGCTCGTGCTTAAAGGACAAGCTACTGCCCACCACTCAGCTCGCACACATCCTGTTCCTAACAGCCCAGACTAGAAGGGCTAATTGAGGACAGAAGCAGCATCTCATGCATTGAGTGGTGCTGGGAAGAGAGAAGGGGGTGGCTTACAGGCTTAGCAACAGCTGGTGCTAGAAATGGAGGAGGAAGAACAAGCAGGACCCACACTCAATATACTCAATAAATATATATGGAGGATCTCCAATATTGCGACCTGGCCGATAGTCACCAAGCCTCCACATCAATTCATTTCCTTTGCGCCAGTGGCACACAGCCTCTCTAGACCCTATGCCAGGCTTTGCATAGTTTCCCCTTGGCTCATCCAGTTCCACGCTCTGCCCTCTGATTCCTGCTTTTCAAGCCACTGTCCACTTTGTCCTATTTCCTCTGGAAGCCCAGCCTGCCTACTATTCTTCTCTGCCTCCCACATAGCCTACCTTGATCCTAAGCACTGAAATACAGCTTCAGAGACGCCGACCAATTAGGCTTTCCTTGCTTTAATTCCCTGCTGACTACTCTTTTCAACAAGCCTCATGTTCTAATCTACAGCTCCTTCAAGTTATTTTTTTTCAGCGCTCTGCCCACTCTGAACTTTTTGTTCAGGTTCTTACCTCTAGGTTTCCTCTCCCCTAGTTTTTCAATAGCTTGGAGGCTTCCCAACCCTCAGCATGCTTTCCTGCAAGATCTTAACTATATCCAGACTTCCTTTACAGAAACTGGACTGAAACTCTTTAGTCCCCTGAGCAAATGAATGTTCCATGTCATCATACCAATTCAGCCAATGAGCAGCGGCTTTTCACCCCAAGACCTGATTCACAAAACAGCCTGCTGGTATAACCAGTCACAAAAAACTACACAGTTCAAGCCTTCTTAGTTGTAGGGTTCCAGAAAATGGAGGGGGGACTACTTATGTGCAAATACAAGTTACAAAGCCATAAGTGATAGTGTTGCATGCGTTTGTACACACTAAAGGAACCACCATTCTGAACAGAGAAGTAGTGGCAGGTTAAGTGCCAATTTAACCCTTACCACACTGGCTGTTCTTCTACTCCCCATGCTGCCCCACATGTGCTTCCAGGTATGTGAGCAGGTATGTGCAGGTAGGGGACATGGGGAGAGAAGCAGCTGCAGAGGCAATTGTAAGTGGAAAGAAAGTCAAATGGGAAAACTTTAACACACCATCACTTGTAGTGTCCCTCCACGTGAGAACTGCAGCCACCCATGAAAAAGTCACACAACTTTGCCTGATTAAGTCCAAAGCAACGCTTTCCCCAAAGGCAAAGCAGGAAGGAGTAGTCAGTGCTGTCCACTATCAGCTGGTGCTGATTCACCCAGATAGCAATCGAGGAGCTTGGCTCAGGATCAACGCTTTGCTGTGCCACTTGAGATCAGCACCCTGATGCTGAATTGCTCCCAGCACCACCATAAAAATCAAGACAAACACACCATTTTACAGAGGCTACAGCCTCCAATTGTAGGCATCTAAGCAATAAGTTCTTCCACAGTGAGAAAGACCATTTTCTCACAAGACGGGTAAGGCATCCAGGCTATGCTAACAATAAAAGCCATCTCCACCGATCCAACCCACCTCTACTTCAGCTCTGAAGAAAAAAAGAGACTTAGTTATTTCTCATTCATACTTTCAGTCCAATAAACATGAAAAACCATGTGACTAGAGTCCGGCTGGACCCTGAAGCCAAGTACTCTGTGTCCCAGGACCCCTAAGAAGTGCACAGAAGTCTTAGGACAGTGGAAGGAATAATCCCAGAAGGCCTCCAGCTTCAGACATGATCCCCTGGTTTCATCCACTGGTGAGAACAATTGTATATTATATTTGAAAATACGAAACTGCCTTATTCTGAGCCAAACCATAGGGCTATCAAGGTCAGCCTTGTCCACTCCGACCAACAGCAGCTTAACAGGATCTCAGAGATTTTCTCATCAGCTACTACCTGATCCTTTTAACTGAAGGTGTCAGGGATTGAACCTAGGACCTTCTAAATGTGAAGCAGATGCAGCGCCACTGGACCATGGCCTCTCCTCACGTTTACCATACCAAGGCTTACTTGCATGAACAGCAGCAGAGGCAAAGGTAGACCTACAATGACGAGCACGAAACCACATCTGTCATCTATCAGAGCACCAAACCACACTCACCTCTTGGGAAACCCACTTGGTGGTCTACACCAAGGGGCTATCACATGGATGAATGAAATGTAAAGCACTTTGCACTATCGTTAACGCCATGTAAGCCAATTTCCAGCATTCCGTGACTCTCTAGAATGACCAAGAGAGGTAAGGCCATGCAACAATCCATGCTCACTAGGAAGAAGGAAGCCCTTCCTCCATTCCAATGAGTGTCTCACTTCATTTTCTGCCAACGAATGGCAACCATCTGCTCAGCAGGAGAAATAACACTGAGTAGACTGATACCTCATGAAAAGGGATCTCACAGAGAGGTACAGCATGTCCCAGCCTGCATCCCCCCCCCCCACACACACACACACAAAATGGTCAAGTCCTCCTGCACAGGTGGGCTGCCACTTCACATTCCCAGGAGAAGCATCCCAGTGAAGCGGGGCTTGGCCCTTTTATTAACATTGCACGGCCAGCCAGGGCAACAGGGGGCACCGTCAGCACCTCCCCGCCCATGCGACCCTACGGCTGAACCCCAGCTGAAAGTACAACATAGCAGGCTACAGCTTTCCCGGTCTACCAAGGTCGGGAAACACACATCACTCTTGGAGGTGGAAAATAAAAGGCTCTTGCACTCCAGGTGGGAGTGGAGGCGAAGGGTCCCGCGGCATAGCCTTCAAGGCCTCCTGGTTATGGAGACCCAGATAGAGACGGGTCGCGCAAGCCCTGCCCCGAAGGAACTGCGGGAGGGGAAGGCGAGGTCCTCCCTGGGGCTTTAGGGGAACAGAGCAGCAGCCTCCCCTCCCATTCCGGCGCCCTCTCCACCATCACCCCCCTCATGGTTCTCTCGCTTACTTCTCTGCGGGGGGAGCTCTTATCCGTCGACCGTGGGAGGGGGTGACCGCCCAGCCTCCGTGCGCGCCACAGCGTTGCTCCCCTCAGGCAGCTCCGTTCGCACCTACCGAGCGGCCAACCGATGAACCAACGAACATTCTCTCCTCAGCGCGGAGGACCCGCCTTCCCCGCTCCACTATCCAATCCAGACAGCGGCTTCCGAAGGAAAGAGGAACGACAGGGGGAGGGGAAAAACATTCTCGAGCCAACCCCACAACCTCTTCGCGCCTCCGCCAAGACCGTAGCCAATAGAAAGGTGAGGACCCGGCCGCAAAACCCCACCCACCCGATACCGGCCACGCCACAGTTAAACCAATCAGAACTTGTATACAGGAACAGGGGCTACGAGGGGCGGCTGGCTGTGCGCTTTCTCTCACTCAGCCGCACCATCTCCCAAGGGCGAGCTCAGGCGCATGCGTAAATATGCCTAGCCAATCGGCTCTTCCTGTGCGGCGCGCGACCCCCTTTTCTGTTCACGCGCTCTAATGCCCCCCTCACTCCGCCTTTTGAGGGGTGCGCAGGCGCACGCTTTTCCGGCGCTTGCTGTGGTAGTTGGGCTGTTTTATCTGTGTCTAGGGCCCCTTGAGCGGTCATACCCTTCAGCCCGTCGGCACGTCCCTTATCGCGATGGTTTTTTAAAGCTCGGCTCTTGCCACGGGGGAAAAAAATTAGATCCGAGCTGCACCACTTCTCGCTACCGGGGGGGCGGGGGGGTCGTCACGTGAGGGAGGTTCCCTGAACGAATAAAGTTAACTTGCTGGGATTATAGTTTAACTTTCTCCTTGACAGTTTATCTGTTTATGTATTCACTTCATGTATAGTTCACATATCTGGCTGAGACTCAAGGTGGATTATGTAATTTAGAACAATGCAGTCAGAAGAGTGTGATACAGATAAAAAGCACTGCAGTAAAACTGGATTAAATTAGTAAAGACATTAAAAGTAAAATACATTAGAATAAAACAGGATTGCAGAATGGGGGAACAAAGGAATAAAATTACTATATATATACAACAAACAATGCAATGAAAGTTGCTTAACATTTCACTGATATTAACTACAACCCAATTATATACAGGGGCATGTGAGGGAGAAGCATTCCATTCTGAGAGTGAGTCCTGAGTAACATATTTGCATAATAGATTCAGGTGGGTAGCTGTGTTGGTCTGAAGCAATAGAACCAAGTTTGAGTACATTGGCACTTTTGAGACTAACAAAGTTTAATTCTGGGTAGATACCCAGAATTAAACTTTGTTGGTCTTAAAGGTGCCACTGAACTCAAACTTTGTACATTGGCATAATGTTCATCCTAAACCAGTAACCTTTCCAAACACAGGAGCCACTTCAACCCCAATGTGCAACATGGGACTTAATTCTCATGTGTTATATTCAGGTCTCAGTCCCTGCTGAGCGGCTCCGCCAGTCAGGAGCCCAGGGGACAGGCACATACCGTGTTTTCCCGAAAATAAGACACTGTCTTATATTTATTTTTTCTCAAGAAGACACACTAGGCCTTATACCACAAATGCATAGAAATCCTGCTAGGGCTTATTTTTGGGGTAGGTCTTATTTTCGGGGAAACAGGGTAACTCCCGCCCCCGCTCCCACCAGCCATCAGTTGGGCAATTGGGGGGGGGACGTTCCTCGCCTTCCTGAGCCCCCGGGTGGTGGCCTTGGACTCATAGGAGCAAATTCCACCTCTCCCATGTGATGTCCGAGCGGCTCCCCCAGCTCTCCTTAGGGGCTCTTTAAAAGGTTATGGTGGCCGCTGCTATTCTTGGCGGCAGAACCCTTTTGGGGGGTGAGCGAAACGTTCCCTTGCCTCCCTGAGCCCCCTGGGTGGTGGCTTTGGACTGGTAGGGGCAAATTCCAACTCTCGCGTGTGATGTCCGGGCGGCGTTGCTGCTCGGACATCACACACGAGAGGTCATTCTGGCTCCTCCAGCTCTCCTTCGGGGCGCCTTAAAAAGTTATGCCTGGCACCGCTGTTCTCAGCGGTAGCTGCAACGCCTGCGCGGGTGGGGTGAAACGTTCCCTTGCCTCCCTGAGCCCCGGGGTGGTGGCCGTGGACTGGTAGGGGCAAATTACACCTCTCGTGTGTGATGTCCGAGCTGCTTGCCACTCGGACATTACACGCGAGAGTTCATTCTGGCTCCCCCAGCTGTCCTTAGGGGCTCTTTAAAAAGTTATGGCCAGCGCCGCTGTTCAGCGGCAGCTGCAACGCGCGTGTGCGGGGGGCGAAACGTTCTCCCGCCTCCCTGAGCCCCGGGGTGGTGACCTTGGACTCGTAGGGGCAAATGCCACCTCTCGCGCGAGAGGTCATTCTGGCTTCCCCAGCTCTCCTAAAGGGCTCTTTAAAAAGTTATGGCCAGCGCCGCTGTTCAGCGGCAGCTGCAACGCGCGTGTGCGGGGGGCGAAACGTTCTCCCGCCTCCCTGAGCCCCGGGGTGGTGACCTTGGACTCGTAGGGGCAAATGCCACCTCTCGCGCGAGAGGTCATTCTGGCTCCCCCAGCTGTCCTTAGGGGCTCTTTAAAAAGTTATGGCCGCCGCCACCGCCGAGAACGGACTGCTGAGCTGCCCTCCCTGCCTTTTTCAGGCTCAGCGCCGGGCCTGAAAAACGGCCTGCAGAGGGGCCCCCCTTTTTCAGGCTCCGCGCTAGAATGCCGGCCTGAAAAAGGGCCAGCCGAATGTCAATTTCGGCCCCATTATATCCTAAGGGCCACTGAAGTCAATGGCGAAAACATAGGGTATAGTCTGGGGGCTGGAGGGGAGCGGGTTTGAGGGAGAGGCTCCAAACACACAGGGTAGCTGCTGGAGCCTCTCCCCCAAGATACCAACCATGTTTGAGAAACATTGGACCAGGGGGTCCAATTCTACGGGCCCCCAGACAGGTTGCCCCTATCCCCTCCATTGTTCTCTATGGTGGGGGGAAAGTAACTAGTATACTGACTTGTCTTTGGCATCATGGGAAGAAGATGGCATCTACATGGCGCTTGGGGGTCTTTACACAGCCCTAGGGCAGGGACTGTGTCTTATCATATTACAACATAAGAATTTAAGAAGAGACCAGTGGTCCATCTAGTCTAGCATACCCTACAGCCAACTAGTTGCCCTGGAAGGCCAACAAACAGCATAGAGGCTAGAAGCTTCCCCAAATGCTGGCTCCCGGCACTGTTATTCAGAGGCTTACTTCCTCTGGACATCTTGGCTTATGGCCAATAAAGCACCTCTCCTCCATGAATCTGTCTAATCCCCTTTTAAAGCCATCTGTACTAGCATACATCACTAAACTGTCACTGAATCCCATAATTTAATTACTCATTGAATAAAGAAGTACTTCCTTTAGTCTATCCTGAATCTATTGCCCATCACCTTCATAGGGTGCCTCTGGGCTCTAATGTGAGAAGCAGAAAAAGTTTTCTGTATGCACTTTCTCCACTCCATGAATCTTATATTCTAATAGCAAAGATGGCCGATCGTTCCATACTTAAATCCAGTGACTGAAACTCTGAATGTACAAGACAAAGCTTTCTACAAACCTGAGAAGGGGCTCAGGTTTGCGGGGGGGGGGAATGAAATCTAAAAAAAAAAAATACACTGGGGAGTTTTAAAAAATCTGAAAATGATAAAAGGATCTCTTGTAGCTTTAAAAAAGGATTCCAGGCTGGGCTTTTGTGAGTAAAAAGGCAGGGGGAAGGGGCCTTTGGCCTTTGAGGGAGGGCTTGGCCTGACTAGGATTGCCATCTTCAGGTTGGGAAATTCCTGGAGATTTTGTAGTGAAGTCTGAGGAGTGCAGTGTTTGGGGAGGGGAGAGGCATCAGCATGGTATAATGCCACAGAGTCCACCTTCCAAAGCAGCCATTTTCTCCAGAGGGACAGATCTCTGCTGTCTGGAGTTCAGTTGTAATTCTGGGGTATCTCCAGGTCCCACCTGGAGTCTGGCAATTCTTAGCCTGACAGCTGCCGCTCAGTTAGGGTTGCCAAGTCTGGCAAACTTACCGGCGGGGGAGGCTCCGGCAACGTCGGGAGCAGGTTCTGTATGCACGCGTGCGCCGCCTCCACATCACCAGAAGTGACGTGCGACGTTGCTGACGTTGGGGGCGTGGTTTTCCCCCCACCGAGCTCGGCCACGTCCCCAACGGCAGCAATGTGGCAGCGTCACCTCTGGTGATGCAGCTTTGGGGGGCAGAGTTCCCCCCGGGGCCCAATTCCGCCGTGGCGGAAATTTGGCCTCCAAAGCGGGGGTTTCCCCGCCCCCACCCCCATTTGGCAACCCTACGCTGAGTGATTGATACCACCCAACTTGCATGACTCAACTAGGCCTGGGTGCTGTTCAACAACAGCCACCCTATGAAAGCCAGTGTGGTGTAGCAGTTAGAGCTTCAGATTATGGCCTGTGAGACCCAGGTACAGATCCCCATCTTGCTGTGGAAGCTGACTGGGTGATTTTGTATCAGTCACATACTTTCAGCCTAACCCACCTCACAGAGAGATAAAAAGGAGGAGAGAATAATGTAAGCTGCTTTGGTCCCCACTGTGGAGAAAGACCCTACTTTTCCTTGGCAGAGGCTGCAGGGGAAAGAGATGACGGAAAGCTGGAGACAGAGGGTCTGATAAAGGTAGGTTGGCTGTCGGGTGGGAAGGAAATAGGGTTGCCAAATCCAGATTGGGAGATTTCTGGAGATTTGAGGGGTGGAACCTGGGGAAGGTGGGGTTTGAGAAGGGGAGGGACCTCAGACAGGTATAATGCCATACTCCACTCTCCAAAGCAGCCATTTCCTCCAGGGGAACCAGCATTGCCAATCTCCAGCTGAGGGCTGAAGATCACCCAGAGTTATAACTGATCTCCTGATGACAGAGATCAGTTCCCCAGATAAAATAGGGTTGCCAGCCTCCAGATGGGGCCTGGGGATCTCCCGCTTTTACAACTGTTCTCCAGCTGACAGCATAGATCAGCTCCCCTGGAGAAAATGGCAGCTTTGAAGGGTGGACTCTATGGCATTGTACCATGCCGAGGCCCCTCCCCTC